GTTTAGATGAGTTTCTCTGATTCAGTTCGCAAATCCCCATTGGAATGCAACTGTGCAAACATTGACTTTGCGAAGATATAGATCGGCCGATGTGGCCTGGAGAGGAGCCCAGAGGAGCTGAGGGACAAAGCAAGTTAGGACACAGCAGGTGCGGTAGTGAGTGTGTTGAGAGGGATCAAAATGGCGGACGGGTGTTGTTTTCATACGGGCAAATGGGAAGGCAAGGCTCTTGCCTCTTTGCAAGGAACAGGAGATAACTGGTCATTCCAGGTGAGATCAACAGCCCCAAGTTCATCCTGAGGTCAGGTTAATCCAACACTATATCCCCTATTTCCATAAGCACCATGCATTATCCACAACAAAGTTTTGTCACTGATGCAATCACTTTTCTTTGCTCTAATCACAGTTTTCCATGTCCGTAAATATTCATAATCCCCGCAGAGTTGGTTCGCAAGACATAACAGGGCTTAAGACCCTGTAGCGTCGCCAGCTGAACTTAGAGTGTTGCAGCACTTATCTCCTGCGTACAAAAGAACTTCTTCTTTTCTCATAACTTTATCAGGCAAGCGATGGAAATCTCAGCTTGCGTTTAGCTCAGCAGCAAGAATTCAGCATTCCCAGCATTCCTTCTCTCTACTGACAACCTGAGCTGCTGAAAGATCGCTTCACTGGCAGCTTTAATTGCTGCTCACATTTGAAGTCATGGGAAATGTCATCATCAATAAAGATTTGTCCGAGGGAAGAAATACTTGTATTTCAAGCATGCTGGAGATTAGTAGTTGAATAGATTTGTGCTCGGCGGCGTTAAGGTTTCTTTCCTACATGCAAACGCGACTCTCTAGAGGTCACTAAATGTATACTATAAGAGTAGCTTTAATGTGTAGCTTGTTGGAAGATTTTTTTGTTTCTTTTATTAAGTTACAGACTTATCCATTTAATCAACAATTAAATACTTTTGTTTTGAGAAATTTTTCATAGAAATCTTATCAGTTATTCTCTTGTACACGTTGCTGCTTTCTGACATTTGACATGAAATTCCTGAAACCTTCCTGAATCTTTTCTTAGTTTTTTTTCTCCCTCTGAAATTAGGGATCTTGTGCACAAGAGTAAGCAACTTTTATACTACACTGCAAAAAATGGAAATCTAAATGAGTAATTTTTGCTTAAATTAAGTGCATTTTTTTCTTGAATTGAGGAGGTAATTGAGATACTTTGCCAATGGAACAAGACAATTTACATTTAAAATAAGAACAAAAATAGCTTTGTCTTATTTCAAGTGCATAGTATATAATTGTCTTGTTTTAGGAGTAAAAATACTAATTCCATTGGCAAATCATCTTATTTATCTACTCAAATTAAAGGAATAGTACACCCAAAACATGATTAGCCTTCATTTTCTACTCACCCCCATGCTGAACAACACTCTGGAGTACTTTTTTGATATCTCAAATGCATCTGGAGATCTGGGAGGCTTCTTGCTGTCTGCTGACATTCAAATAATGGAGGTCTATGGTGACCGAGGCAGAAAGGTCCATAAAAGTCCACAAAAAACGTGTCAATATTCCTCCATACTGCTCGTCCAATGTATTCCAAGTGTCCTGAGTGGGTAGCGTCCATAATTTACTCGAAACGAAGTCATTTAGAATGTTTTTAGAGCATAAACAGTAGTGTATAGGATTTCCTAAAAGCGTGTTCACGAGTCTACGGAAACCGCGGCAGACCAAACCAGACGAAAGTGCGCATTCAGCTCGGCAAAGAACTCATGCTCTTCCTCAACACTGAAGTCCTCAGACATTTTTCTTTCGTTGTTTCTTTCTTTGCACAGGTAAACAGCACATTTCTTCTTCTACTCTTGCATTATCGGCAGAGCAGACGCTGAATGCGCACTTTCATCTGGTTTGGTCTGCCGCGGTTTCCGTAGACTCGTGAACACGCTTTTAGGAAATCCTATACACTACTGTTTATGCTCTAAAAACATTCTAAATGACTTCGTTTCGAGTAAATTATGGACGCTACCCACTCAGGACACTTGGAATACATTGGACGAGCAGTATGGAGGAATATTGACACGTTTTTTGTGGACTTTTATGGACCTTTCTGCCTCGGGCGCCATAGACCTCCATTATTTGAATGTCAGCAGACATCAAGAAGCCTCCCAGATCTCCAGATGCATTTGAGATATCAAAAAAGTACTCCAGGGTGTTGTTCAGCATGGGGTGAGTAGAAAATGAAGGCTAATCATGTTTTGGTTGTACTATTCCTTTAAGGGCAAGTATACTCAATTTAAGAATTTTTTTACTTAATTCTAGATGGTTTTTGCAGTGTAATACTGGCAGCAAATCTTAAAAAGTGTGACCAAAACAGGAGTGTAAAACCTTGGATTTGGGTTGTTGAATATTTTTAAATGTTTATAATATCCAGTGAAGAGATGTAACTGAATTCTACATAAAAGCAAAGCTATTGGAAAACTACTGTGTTGTGGTAAAACACATGTGGGTCATTTTGGACTGATGATCACTGCAGGCAGCTGAATTGGACTTTTTCGATTTTTCTCAAGTTCAACAATGTTTATATTTAGCTTGATACGATTCATATGCCCACATAGAAATATATCCCAAGATTAAGTTACCACCAGCAACACGAAATAGCTGTTAAAGCACAGTCAGTGAAGATCAGCAGAGGTATTTGTGGGGGATTTTTGCCTTATAAGCCAACATTAAGGCCAGACCAACAGGGGGGAAAAAATTCTCACCAGTCTTACATCAGGTCAGTGAAAGTATTACAAGGTAACCAGGAACACATCTATGTTAAAGCCCAGATTGTCCACTAGACAAAAATACCAACACAGTGAGGACAATAGTTGAACACCCTGCTATTTTGCAAGTTCTCCCGCTTAGAATTCATGTAGGGGTCTGAAATTGTCATCATATCCACTGTTAGAGACATAATCACCAAAAAAATAAATAAATCCAGAAATAACAATATATGATTTTTTTTAACTGCACATAAGTATTTGAATACCTGTCTATCAGCTAGAATTGTGACCCTCAAAGATCTGTTAGGCTACGTTCACACTGCAGGTCTTAATGCTCAATTCCGATTTTTTTGTGAAATCGGATTTTTTTGCGTGTCCGTTCACACTTCCAAGTATATGTGACTTGTATGTGATCTACTGCGTGAACTGAAAGCGTTCAACCGAAGTGTACCGCATGCGCACTCGAGGACACGACGACGTCACATGTAGCAAGCGTCCTCAGTGTTTGCGGAAGTAAATATGACTCGTAATACCGCAGCGTATATTGCGTTCTTTAAGTTCTTCTCCAACAGGAGCAGGCACATTACGAACGAAATCTTTTTAAGAAGATCAAAAAGAAAGACCCTCCCCCGGTTCCGGTAAGATGATTGGTCTGAATCGAGCTATCTTTCCAAATATGAATTAAGTCAGCAACCTCACTTTCTCTCCATTGACTGCTTTCTGTGTTATCTTCCGCCATGGTTGTTAGTTTTTCCCACCTCCGCTTAGTAGGACGCAGATTAGTAACGTTTAGTAACATTTGTCAAGTATCAATGACGTGTAGGTCGGATGAATGCGACCTGGCCGTACAGACACAGGTCGCATTTGAAAAGATCAGATACGTATCGGATTCAGGACCACATATCCAAGTGGCCTGGGTCGCATTTGAAAAAATCCGATCTGTGTCGTTCAGACTGTCATAAAAAGATCAGATACAGGTCACATATGGGCAAAAAAATCGGAATTGGGTCACTTCAGGCTGCAGTGTGAACGTAGCCTTAGTCTCCCTTTAAAATGTCCACCTCAAATCCTTTTATTATCCTTAATTAGATGCACCTGTTTGAGGTCATTAGCTGCATAAAGACACCTGTCCACCCCATACAATTAGTAAGAATCCAACTACTAACATGGCCAAGACCAAAGAGCTGTCCAAAGACACTAGAGACGAAATTGTCAAAAAAGCTTCACTGTTGGAGCAAGTATTAGAAAATGGTAGAAGCTAAACATGACTGTTAATCTCCCTCGTTCTGGGGCTCCATATAAGACCTCACCTCGTGGGGTCTCAATGATCCTAAGAAAGGTGATAAACCAGCCCAGAACCACATGGGAGGAGCTGGCTAATGTCCTGAAAAGAGCTGGGACCACCGTATCCAAGTTTATTGCTGGTATTACACTAAGCATATATCTGAAATCCCACATGGTACACAATGTCAAGGCCTATTTTAAGTTTGCCAATTACCATTTGAATGATCCAAAGGAGTCATGACAGAAAGTCATGTGGTCAGATGACACCAAGATAGAACTTTTTGGTCATAATTCTACTAAATGTGTTTGGAGGAAGAGGAATGATGAGGACCATCTCGAGAACACCATCGCGACTGTGAAGCATGGGGTTGGTAGTATCATGCTTTGGGGGTGTTTTTCTGCACATGGGAAAGAAGTTTTCAGGTTTGTTGATGAGGTCCAGCTTTCACAGTACCAGATAACGAAAGAAAGACAAAAAGGCTAAATTCAATAAATTACAACAGAGAGCAGCATTTAAACAAGATACCTACATAACACTAGCCTGACGTAGTCCTACTCAATTCTAGTCAGAATATGAGTCTGATGCTGCTCCATAGAGCTGTGATTATGGGGCGTGTTTCGAACGAACCAGGAAAAAAAATGCCTCTGCACTCAATTGGATAGACCTACAACCAATAAGAGCAACGGAGTGCGTGACGTATGTTAAGCGACGCATAGTTGTTGTCAACAAAAATCAAAGCTTGCAGTTGCACGCCTAGAATAAGAAGATGAGCGTGAACAATTTTTGCCGGTGTTGCAAAAAGAACCTGAGGATACAAGGAGTCATTCAACACAAGAACCTCATTTTTAAGAAAAACAGTAAAGTCGAATACACATATGATCAAGTTCTCCGTTTAGGATTACAACTCTACAAAACGTCAAATAAATCGCATCAGACGTTATAACACGGTTGGAACGCGACATGCTTGTGTTAAAAAAATGGGCAGAAGACGAAGGAGACCAGCCGGAAGAACCGTCTTCATCTGAGGCATCAGAGAAAAGATACCGGGAGCCTACTCCTTCCAAGACGACCAGGACTCTGAAGAAGTTCTGCCCCAATCCGTCAACTCCAACCGGCACAAAAACGCAAAGAACCATTACAGAGGTAAGGTTATTAATACATTTCTACTTCTTATGATATGACTATGAGAATAACCTCATAACTACACTGTAACAAATTGCCCTGTATTTTTACAGTAAAATGCTGGCAGCAGGGTTGCCAGCATTTTACAGTTAATTATACAGTACCCTTACTGTAATCAACTTTACAGTATAATACTGTTACAAAAGAAATCTTTTGATTACAGCACATTGCTGTTTTTATCAGATTTAAATTGTCATTTAATTAAATGACAACTGTATGACAACATCATCTGACAAATAAATTATGCTCCAATTTACCGGATTGGCTCATAAAATGCAGGATTCAAATGGATAGTCCTTGTAAAGAAAATTTGTGGTTGATTGGTTGACGTGATTGATTACGTTACTGTTGATCATCTGTCCATCATCGTATAAAGCCCGCCCTGACAATTTGATTGGCCCGCCAGATATTGGGCGAGCATACTCGCGCTACTATGGAGCAATGCCAGACCGAACTTCCCGACCTCAAACGTTGTGGGCGGGACTAAGTTCGGAATGGCACCCAGGCTAACATAACACAGGAGGAAGCCACCAACATCAATGTCCAGGACAAGTTGGTTAAAAACCTGCTGACGAAGCCAGAGACAGAAGTTCTGAGTAAAGGCATGAATTCTGCCATTTCTACACAAAAAAATACCCATTGTTGAGTTGATCACTGTCAGTGTATTTTAGATAATATCCAGGGGAGGACATTCCATGCTTATATGGGTTCGCAAAAAATTCAGAAGGAAGGAACACCACTTAGACCCATTGTAGCAGCATTAACCCAGTAACATACAACATTGCTAAACAATTTACTAATATTTTAGCCCCCCTGGTGGAAAACACACCACATCACATAGAAAACTCCAAAGACTTTGCAAAACAATGTCAAACATTTAAAGATGGCGCCAAGAGAAACCCTGGTGTCTTTTGATGTTCTCTTTTCACGTGCATACCTATGTCAGAGGCAGTGGAAACAGTCAGGAAACGTCTTCAACAAGACATTGACCTAAACAGGACAATTTCACTCCAGACCAGATCTGCACCCTTTCCACATCATATTTCAAGTTCAGGGATGATTTCTATAGACATAAGCATGGTTGTGCCATGGGATCTCCCGGGTCACCAGTTGTAGCAAATCTTTACATGGAGGAAATGGAAAAGAGAGCTTTGGACTATTTCAGAGGAACACAATCAAGCCACTGGTTTAGATACAGTGGATGACACATTCATCAAAATCCAGCTAAAAGAAGTGCAAGCTTTCACAAGACACATCAACTCAGTTAACCACAATATCAAGGTTACCAGAGAGGATGCCAATAACAACAAGCCGCCTTTTCAGGACTGTTTGGTGAGCATAGAAGGAGCAGGGGGATTTACCATTTGGCAGTACTTGGCAGTCACCTAGGGCATCAAGTTCATAGGGGGCCCATAAAGCTCTGTTTACACGTATGGTTAATACAACTGTCCCATTTTTGTGCACATTAATTATGTTTTTGATAAAAATCCTTTCACTAAAATGCCATCAGAACACTGATAATATTAAGTGTGTCTCAGCCTGTCTTCGCCTAGGGCCCTGTGAAGCAGATGGCAACCTCAACATTGAAAACAATAGGAAATCCACTCATGCAGACCAATATCTTCTTTTTGACTCAGAACAGGACAGTTCTGAGACCCAGGAGTCTGCAGCCCGATCCGAACAGGGAGAGATGCAGGGCTCCAGGAATCCACAGGGCGTTCAGGCAGGTTCACTCTTCCATGAGTCCATCAGCAATCTCAAGCAGATATGCTCAGATGGAGACAGGCGGGCTCAGTGGTTGAGAGGAACAGAGACAAGACATGGTACGAGGAGAACTGGGGAACTTTAAACTGGCTCCAACCAACAGCCAGGCCTACTGACTTAAAACTAACTCCCACCAAAACAGGAACAGAGCGGGCTCAGCAGGCAAGAGCCAGGACACAATCAGGAGACACGAGACAAACACTAAAATCCTCTGGGGATAGGGATATGAACTTTGAATAACTTAAACTAATGAAACAAAAATACATCAATGATCTGGCACCGATAGCTGGGCTGAGACGAATATAAAGCAGCAGACGCTGGAGGATAAGATGAGCGACGATTAGGAACCGGGCAGAGTTAGGCAGGTGTTTGATATGAACAATTAAGGTCAGCTATCAGGGCAGATCATGACTAGCCTCGTGAGACCATCCTGATCTCGCGAGCTTTCAAGGTTTCACTCGCAGATTAATCTGGAGACTCTCCGTTAAAGAAAATTTAGAGCCGTTCACCAAACGAACGTCCAATCAGCGTTGGCTTTGAGGCGGGTTGAGGTGTGACGCAACGAACATGGCGGCTTCAGCCGATGAAACTAGCGTTAGCGTGGCTATCGAGCAAGTTTTATCGGAATTACAGAGTATTTCTTCACTGAAAGAAGAGCAAAACACTGCTCTGGAGGCTTTTCTCAGAGGAAAATGTTTTTGCTCTTCTCCCGACTGGTTTCGGCAAGAGTAGCCTGGCTTGTGGTTGTGTTTTCGTCGTCGCTCTGTTAGTGCGTCATATGCTTCGTTGATCTGATTGGTTTATTTGGCCCGTCTATCACCAACATAGGCCAATCAGCTAACCAGTATTTTCGCCCCTTCCCAAAATTACTTCAACGGAAGGTTTCCAGATGGATATGCGGAGCTAATCCATCTGGCGGAGTCAGGTTAGATCATGACAGCTGTATCAAAAAAATAAATTGTTTTTAAAAAGCATACATTGTGATTTCTTTTTTAGATTATTTCTCTCACAGTGGAAATGCAGCTATGATGATCGATTCAGACCCCCTCCATAATTTGTAAATGGAAGAACCAGCCAAATATTAGGGTGTTTGAATACTTATTTTCCTAGCAGTATATAAGAGCTTCACATATGGGCTCAGCACTTTAGTTAATCACTAACAGATCATCACAGTTTCCAGATAAGTTTCCTCAAAGGGAGTCCTGATCATTCTCACTACTGAATGACACACCAAGATACATTAACTTCTCTGTACCAGTCCAACTTTCCAAGCTTGTAAAAGTTTGAAACGTCTTTTTTTAAGAACAGCTCTCCTGTATAGTCTGTCCTTATATCTGAGTGAGCTATACCCACCTAAGCTGCACAAAACCAGTGGAAGAAGACATGTATGTTTTTACCTGCAAGGTATACCTGTGTGCAGGAGCTTCTGCCTTTGTAGGCATCTGTCAGTGGCTCACAGCAATGATGGAGGGAGGGAGGACGGACAATATGTGGTAATGAGAGACGTGGTAAACAGTCGGCCATGTCTCTGTTGCAGCGCATGGCTAACGTGACATATAAACCCCATGCTGTGGCACTTTGTTTACATGTCACCTGACAGAGCCGAAGAGGGGCCTGGAGTGGAAAAGAGACGCTCCTTAGTACCAGCTGATCATCATGGTTTCTAACATGCAGCTGAGGGATTGCTGCGAGAAGCCTTCGTTTGTAAGATACATTTGTTGGATTCCTGAGAAGTGTCACGTAACAAAGTAGAAATACTTCATTACTTAAGTAGAATATTTTTTATTTTTCAGAATTCCACTCCTTACAGTTTTTTTTTTGCAACGATCTCTCCTTTCTACTGATAACATTTTAAAAATAGACTTGTTAGTTATGTGTCTTTTAAGTTCTTTTTCATTATTGACTGCTGGTATTTTAAAACAATAAAAACCAGTGTTGTATAGTATCAAAGTAAAAATACTTCACTACTGTACTTAAGTATATTTTGGAGTACTTTCCAAGAGTATACATTTTTTTTGAGAACTTTCACTTTTACTTCACTACATTTACAAACTTAATTGCATAATTTTTCTCCGATATATTTTCAATTTTTGGTTAAGTTACTAAGTAAAAAAAAAAAAAACGAACGAGAGAATAGCAAATGTTTTGACCCCGCCTGCTGACTACAAAGTCTGGTCTTGCCTGGGCTTTTTCATCAACACCAATAGGATACGCCTTTTTCGCAAAGCCAGTCTAAATTTATCCCACACTTGGTTGTGTATATTATTTTAATTTTCAATTCAATTCAGTTTATTTATATAGCGCCAAATTCACAACACATGTCATCTCAAGGCACTTTACAGTTCAACCAGATCATACTGTCAAATTGATACAAAGTTTTCTATCTAAGGAAAACCGTTTGATTGCATCGACTCATTGACTCAAATACAATCCCTCACACTAAGCATGCTTGTAGCGACAGTGGAGAGGAAAAACTCCCTTTTAACAGGAAGAAACCTCCAGCAGAACCAGGCTCAGTGTGAGCGGCCATCTGCCGAGGCCGACTGGGGTTCAAGGAGACAGAAGCAGAGATACAAAAAGCAGCTGTAAAAGGCGGCCCCGTCCAGGAAACACACAGCCAGGCAGACGAGCTCCAAAGCAGCTCCCATGCCAGAGGACGAAGAGAGCACATCCACTCAGTCACGGCCAGAGAAACAGGACTACACTGGAAAACAGGCCGATCGCCAACATCTATAAACAGGGTGTTGATGTTGAATTTAACCTTCAAATTTCACCAAAATGTTAAAAAAAATGTCATTCAAACTGCACTTACTTTTTACTTATACTTTTCACTACATTACTTGAGTACATTTTTATAGTAATTCTTATACTTAAGTATAAGCCATTTCAGACACTTTAAGACTTTTACTCAAGTAACATTTCAGTCAGTGACTTGGACTTTTACCAAAGTCATATTTTGGAGAGGTACTTATACTTTTACTTGGCTCTGAGATTTCAGTACTTTATACAACACTGATAAAAACCATCAAAATAATTTGTTTCATCCTGACAATTAGTGGACTCTGTGCTGCACCAACTACTTGTTCACCGCATACCAAAATAAATAGTTTTTCAACATAATGCAAAGGTAAATTTCAAACTTATGATTTTAGTTATAAATTTAAGAAAATAAAATATGAGGAAAATATTTGCATTTATCTTT